TTTATACAAAAAATATATAAAAAGATAAATTTATTAAAAAAAATTTCATAGATTACAAAAGGTAAAATACTTAAATTCACTCCCAAAATCAAAATCAAAAGGTAAAGACATTCACCCTCGAAATAAAAAATAAGGACAATTCTATTCATAAAATTTTTAACTTAGACAAATCATTTTAAATTTAAAGTATAATGTCATCTAATATCAATAATATATTAATTTGTTATATCGTTAATAAATTCATTGTTAATAAATTATTAACATTAAATTATATCAAACATTAAATTTAAAATAATTTATCCAAATTAATAATTTTGTAAATAAATTTATTCTTATTTCATTCGGATAAATCCATCCATATCACCTAATTTTAGAAGTGGATTTTTGCATTCTCCCATTATAAAATCCCTTCCATTGCCGCATCCATACCCAAGTGACCAAAAATATATTCACGTATATGGACAAAAAGTAGGGGGAAGTTCCAAGTTTCTTCCTCCCCCAACTAAACGTGGTCGCAGTGGTCATGTGCGATAATGGATACATTATTGCATCCTAATTACTGTTATTTAAAACATCATCCAATAATAATCATATTGGTTACAGAGCGTAAATAACTAAATATTCGTTTTTCTCCCACTTTTTCGCTTTTATTCTTTTTTTGGTTAAACCCCAATTGGGTCCCTTAATTATTGTATAAATTTCTAATTTAGTTTTCAAACTAAAAAAATCTTTAATTTAATCCTTATTATTTATTAATTTAATTTCAAATTGATTTTTCTTTTAAAAAATAACAGATATATCAGTTATTTAACAATAAAAAATCATTACTTAACAGTTACATATCATGATAGTAATAAAACACATCATTTATTTTTTATGAAAAGATAAACTTTGGATCCAATTGATAAATAGTAAAAATCAAATAAAAAATTTTTTAATTTAGAGATCAAATTAAAAATTTATACAATAATTGAGGATCAAATTAAGCATTTAACTTTTTTTTTTTTTTTCAAAAACAAAAACAAAAAAAACTCCGTCGCCCACCATCTCTCTCCTTCCCTGAGACGGCAGGTCTCTCCCCTTCTGACTCGTTTTCTCCTAGCAATCCCATTCCTCATTTCCGGACTGGCCCCCCCTCTCTCTCTCTTTCTCTCTCTGTCTCCCCCTCCCTATCTGCCTCCTTCCCTTGCTTTCTTGGCTCTCACCGTCGCCGCCTCCTATCTCCTCGTGCGAGATAATCTCCTTCCAGGGATCGCGTTTCTCTTCTCCCAATTTCAGGTACGCGTTTCTCTCCTTCACTTTTCACTGTTCCTTTTATACGTCTGCAACCTTGTGCTCTATGTGTTTAATTCTCTGTTAATGGATTGAGTTTCGAAGATTCTGATGAAGTTTTCTCGGCTTTATGCCTGGGTTTGTATATTTTATCTGGATTCAAATCTGATTTACGTTTGTGTGCTTCATTCTTATGGGGTTTGGATTTGTTAGGGTATGATTGAACCTGATGTAAGTTTTTGCGCTATCAAGTTTCTGGCTTTATGCGTGAAACAAACCAATTGAGATTTTTTCACTCCTGGTTCTTTGCTTGTAGGCTTGATCTGATATTGAACAGACCTGGAAACGCCTATTTTTTTTGTGGATGGAGTAATATTGAACGTTAATTCGGATACTGTCAGTGTTTTTTCTATGATACTTCATAGGGGATGAGATGGTTTTTTGTGGTTTTACAAAATGTCCAACTTGCATTGGAAGAGTTGATCCTAATGACACATATTTCAAATTTCTTTTCTATTTCTCAGGTTGTTTGAACTTTCTTTGTAAAAGGGAAAGAATATTTAATCAACTTCACCAATAACTTAAGAACTCGGAAACCAGCTGCTGCAATTTTCAGCTTTGGCTTGCAACTCCAAAAGTGCTCTCTGTGTGCTACACATCCTGTAAGAACTTAACTTTCCCCTAAAACCAATTGTCTGCCTTTTATTTACCTGTACAGTAATTGTTTAAATCAGTTGTTTTTGTTTTTCTTCTGTTTAAGACCAGTTTAGTAAGTGAAGTAGTCTACCAACTAGCAAGACCTCACATTTGGTTAATATGATTGAATGATATTTTTTCCTCTCATTTTTCTAGGAAACAAACTCCTTTTCCCTTTTAAAGTCCTATCCTATATTCAGTGACTAGTGCTTTCTTATGGCTTTATACATTTATAATAATATAATTAAATATTAGTTAAGAGTCATTCAATCAATGGTCAAAGAGTAAAGGCATTTTTTTTTACTTATATAATTTATGTTACATGTTAATTATCTTGCAAAGGGCAATATAATTGGCTTGAAATAACTCAACAAACCAGGAAAGGGCAAAGCTCTAGTGTCTTTGGATGGGTACAGTGGGGGAAAAATCAGTCGACAGAAAGCAATACCTTATACCTATGTGTTGGTCATCTTGAAGCTTTTGAGTTATATAGTCAAACCTCTTAAGTCTCTATGGTATTAGGCTTATAGTAATTTATCCATGTTATTTTTTGTTAACTTCAAATTACTGTTTTAGTGGTTTTATCAATAAACCCAAAAATACTTATCATAACCTGTTCAAGGTTTTTTTTTTTTTTTTTTTGGTACTGTCTTGACTGACCCTTTTTAGCATTGTTACCGTTTTGTTAGAATTTTTTTTTTTTTTTACCAGCATTAGAATTTGTTAATTGTTGCTTCTTTTTATGAGCCTTGCCTTAATAACATCAAAAGGCAATTATTCATCCATTAAATCATGATCAATTTCTTTAAACAATGTATGGTTGTAATATATAGTTTTTAAAAATTAAAACTTATTAATTTCTTTTGTATTACAGATCCGGATGTACCATCACAGACCTCTCTCTCTAGTTCTGAAGTTTCTCTTCAATTTGCTGTTGTTATTAGCTTCACATGCGGATCCAGATCAGCCATGTTCAAAAAAGAGCTCATTAATCGGGTTCCAGTCTGAGTTCACAATGGTCCAAAACCAATTAAGAGGTCTTCTTACGATAGTCGATGATTGCACTTTCGAGGTCTCCCAGTTTGACATGCTATCCGGGTCAGATGTACATTGGTGGGGTTCAGTCGCACCTGACTTCACTAACCTCACCCATGGGTTTGTTATCTCAGATCACAATCTCAATCAAACATACAAAAATGCATCCTTTAACGTGCATCTCGTGAAGAACATTTCCTGGGATCAGATTCAGGTCCTCTCTGTGTGGGACCTACCCACTGCCTCTGACTTTGGCCACATCTTGCTGCCACATGGGTCAGATGCTAGCTCTCCACCATCACCTTCCAGTGAGGATAATTTGATTTCTGGTCAGCTTCACAGGGTACCCACAATGTTTGATAATTGTAAGGTGTTGTCTAAAAACTATAGGATTAGGTGGAGTTTGAATGAAAGTGCTAATTCCATCGAAATTGGGTTAGAGGCTGCCACTGGGACCCAAAACTACATGGCATTTGGGTGGGCAAACCCGAATTCCACTTCAGGTCTTATGTCAGGTGCTGATGTTGCAGTCACAGGGTTCACAGAGGAAGGTTTGCCATTTGCTGATGATTTTTTTATAACCAAGTATAGTGAGTGTCTAGTGGATAAAGACGGTTCTGCAATAGGTGTTTGTCCTGACACAATTTATGAACCAAACGATCCAGTTGGGTTGGTGAACAATACTGTACTGATTTATGGGCACAGGAGAGATGGGGTTTCCTTTGTTAGGTATAGAAGGCCATTAAAATCTGTTGATAACAAGTATGATTTGCATGTGAATCACATGGAGAATATGACAGCTATTTGGGCTTTGGGGTTGATGAGGCCCCCAGATACTCTTAGGCCTTACTATCTTCCACAAAATCATGGAGGGCCAAGATCGGTGATGTATGGTCATTTGGTGCTCAATGCTTCAGAGCATTTTGATGATTGTTTAGGCCCCCTTGATGCTGAGGATAAAGAGGATCAAGATTTGATTATTGCAGATGCGAGTATGCCTCTTGTTGTTACCACAGGTATAGAATTACATTACCCAAATCCTCCAAATCCATCAAAAGTTTTGTACATTAACAAGAAGGAGGCTCCGGTGCTGAGAGTGGAAAGAGGCGTGCCAGTGAAGTTTTCAGTTCAGGCAGGGCATGATGTTGCTCTCTACATCACTTCAGATGTGCTTGGTGGGAATGCAACACTGAGGAATAAAACTGAAATTATTTATGCTGGAGGGCCAGAGTCAGAAGGAGTTCCAGCTAGCCCTTTTGAATTGGTTTGGGCCCCTGATAGGAATACACCTGATCAGGTGTATTACCAATCAGTGTATCATCAGAAGATGGGGTGGAGAGTTCAAGTTGTTGATGGTGGTCTATCAGATATGTACAATAACAGTGTTGTTTTGGATGACCAACAAGTTACCTTCTTTTGGACATTGTCAAAGGATTCAATATCTATTGCTGCCCGTGGTGACAAGAAGAGTGGTTATCTTGCTATAGGTTTTGGGAGTGGAATGGTGAACAGCTATGCATATGTGGGCTGGGTAGATAATATCGGAATTGGGCATGTAAATACATACTGGATTGATGGAAAGGACCCCTCTAATGTGCATCCAACAAGTGAAAACTTGACTTATGTGAGGTGCAAGTCAGAAAATGGTATTATTACGTTGGAGTTCACTCGTCCCTTGAAGCCATCATGCAGTCATGATGATAGGCCAGAGTGCAAGAATATTGTTGATCCCACAACCCCACTCAAAGTGATATGGGCAATGGGTGCTAGGTGGACCAACGAACATCTAAATGAAAGAAATATGCATTCTGTTACAAGTCAAAGGCCTGTCCGTGTGATGCTTATGCGTGGTTCTGCTGAGGCTGAGCAAGATTTAAGACCGGTCTTGGCTGTGCATGGGTTCATGATGTTCCTTGCTTGGGGCATTCTGCTTCCTGGTGGCATATTGGCAGCTAGGTACTTAAAACATGTAAAGGGCAATGGATGGTACCAAATTCATGTTTACTTGCAGTATTCAGGATTAGCAATCGTCCTCCTTGCCCTTCTTTTTGCAGTTGCTGAACTTCGGGGTTTCCATGTCAGCTCGTTGCATGTTAAGTTTGGTATTGCCGCCATATTTTTGGGTTGTCTGCAACCAATGAATGCATTCATGAGGCCTGAGAAACCTGCTAACGGACAGGATGTTTCTCCAAAAAGGCTTGTTTGGGAGTATTTTCATGCAATTGTTGGTAGATGTGCAGTTATTGTAGGGGTTGTGGCACTTTTCACTGGCATGAAGCATTTGGGGGACAGGTATGGGGCCGAAGATGTTCATGGACTTAACTTGGCACTAATAGTTTGGTTCCTGATTGGTGCACTGATTACTATGTATCTGGAGTACCGGGAGAGACAGCGGAGGAAGGATAAAACATCTGGAAGGAGCAAATGGGTCCTGGGTAACCTTGAAGAAGATGATTCTATAGATCTTTTAAGCCCAAGCAGGGCTTTTGCGGGAAAAGAGTCCGAAAATTCTGGAAGAATGGAAGTTCAGTTAGAGCCACTAAACAGATGAATTTGATATATATTTTCCATTTTGGATTTCATATAAACTCGACACTTGAAGGAGGTGCTTCCTCTCTTATACAACGGGTAGCAGGCCTTTCTTTATATTTGCTTGAACAGAATCTCCTACTGCAAAAGGCATACTCACAGGAAATCTGTCTCTCTCTCTCTCTCTCCAATTTGTCCCTGCGAAGAGCAATTACCTTTACCCTATAGCATGTATTTTGTATACTCACTGAATAGCACTCTTTATTTTGTGCTTCTCAAGTAGAGGAAAGCTAGTGCCAGCCTATTCTTTTATGTAAGACATTATGTTTTTAGACTCAAAAACTTCGGCACGTAAAATGAGTAGGAATTATGAGATTTTGATTTAATTCCCCACGTCAAGCCAGTCTCATTTGAAATGATTTAGATTAAGCTCGAGCTTACCTTCTTTGCTTTATTAATGACTAATGAGCCAAGTAGCCAACCCTGGACGTTGTAAAGCGGCTCAATTGTATGAATGACAAAGAATGTTGGCGATCCTCACTCTAAGCTATAAGAAGTTATTGTGTCCTTAAGGGGACTTCCTATTTGTTGTATATCCTATAACAAACTAAATAAATAAATAAATAGAGGTCATTTATTAATAAACAATTATTATTTTTTCTTTAATAGTTAGAGTATTTTTGAGTCAATTTGCACGTACTTTGATGTTAATTCCTTTTAATCATATAAAAAGCAAGTCATCCATTAATTTATATTAAAATTAGAAAATTTATGAAGAATTACTTTTTTATTGGCTTTTTTAGCAAATTGAACTTAGTTGAACTTTGGTAGACAAAGTGAGAAATAAATTTTTTTACCAACTAAACCACTACATCTTAAATATTTTATGTGAAATTAATAGGTCAAATTCCCTAATTATACCATAAACATTATTGTTTTTTGAAGTAAACACCCTTTAGAATAAAAAAAGCCTTAAATTATTAACAAAGTCATGGTACAAATAAAGGGTTTACTTGTAAATTTGTGGGTTCTTTTTATACATTTCAAATTCTAGGAGTATTGACCAAGAGTGAATTTTAGAGGGTATTAATCACAAAATGTAATAATATTCAAGGTACAAAAAAGAGGTTTAGCCTAAATTGATATGAAGTTAGATTAAAACACCCTGCAAAACTTTTAGGTTTTCAATCTTTTACTTTATTGGAACCGATTCACTTCTTCGAAAGCAAGTATTTTAACTTTGTAGGATACTTCTCAATAGAATTCCAATAAAGGTTAATTTGTTTACGAAGTTGTATATCCTGAGAACTTAAAATTGACATTTAACCTTTTTAGAAGTACAGTCATTTTCAGGGACCTCCAGAGAGTGGAAACTAAAATCTAAGTAACAAATGCTGTATTTTCCAATTGTGACTGGTGCCAAAATCCCATGCCAGAAAGATGATTCTCGGACTGAAATTATTGGGGTAGTTCTGGTGGATGTCTTATTGCTAAATCTGTGGTAGTTAATGCGTGAAAGGAAGTGTTCTGTGAGACGCTATTTTCAGTAAGTTGATGCAAGGCTTCATATCCGCATTGGGAGGATTGCTTGTACTCTGTCAATAAAATTTATTTTGCTGATGAAAAAAATTCCTTTATTTTACAGTTCAAAATAGTTAAGATGGTAAAATAAAGACAATTAAATGTAAGACTTCATTATATTGCTCGGTAGTATTGCTTGTACTCTGTCAATAAAGTTTATTCTGCTGATAAAAAAATTCTTTAGTTTACAAGTCAAACTAATTAAGATTGCAAAATAAAGATAATTAGATGAGAGAAGACTCCCAATATTAAGATATCAGCTTTCATCGTAATTTTTATTTTGTAATATAGAGTAGTCTGAATTGCAATATAATTTTTTTTTTTTTAAATAAATAAAGGTTTCAATGTATGAAAAAAAAAAATCAGATTTTTTCCTTGTTTTTGCAATGGTCCAGATTTCCTTAGATATAAGTGCACTACTTCATGACAAACTAAGCAGCATGTCGCATAACCAGTAACAGTTTATTCTTCCACAAATTAAAAGTGATTTTTTTCTCACAAATGCTCAATAGGCATTACTAATTATTATAACATAATACATGATGTTGCGCGAGCAAAAAGCTAGTGGTATACAAATTAACAAACCAAGGTATAACAGCATCGAAAAAACAAAACAAACCAAGGTATAACAACGGAAACATTTGGTTCAACTCACTTGATCAATATCCTCATGATAGAAGAAGATTCCTTCTCTTCTCTGCACCTTTATGCCTCATCCTCCACTGCTTCCCCAGCAGAAGTTTCTTTTGCAGATGATGAATTATACGAATTTTTAAGTTCCTCCAACTACAGCATGACAATAAAAGTCAGGTGACTTCCATGGAAGGTATAATAAGATATTTGATTAGGGGAAATGAGGAATGTGCAAATTTAAAGATCAAAAGAAATGAAGGAATGCAAATCATCCAAAGCAATTCTTATGCTCAAACTTTGAAAGTATAAAGGGATTTGGACGCCTATAATCTGGTAAGAGAAACTAAGAATCATCATGATTCATTTGTATTGGGCCCAAAAAATTAGTTTGTTTGAGGGTGGGGAGAGGACTGCTTGATTTTTTTTTTGCGCTGTGAAAAGCACAGCCAACCATGGCTTGGTTAAAACTAGCCATTCTGCAATCTGCTGTTTGTACTGAAGACAGAGCAAGAAAAGTCCATATGGCTGCACTAAACTGATATTGAAAATGAACAAATGTAGTACATAGAGGAGATTTTCAGTCTCTTGGCCTCCTGGGGACATCCCCAAATGGTTTGAGTATGACTTCCACCAGGGAGGTCTAAGATTCAAGCCATTGGGATAGGCGCAACAGGGTTTATGGAAAGGGGAGGGGTAGAACTTGTCATGTAGCACCAGAAAAAAAAAGAAGAGGAATTTCCATTAAATAAAAAAAAGAGGCTGGATTGACTGAATTATGAAAGAAGTGTCAAACTGGCTAGGAAAAAATAAACAAAAGGGATAATATTTTGACTAACTCCAAAAGATGTGCATTCTTCAAGAAACTGAAACTTAGGATGTTGAATTTAGAAAACTAAGAAGAGAATTACAGGAGAATAAAAATGAAAAACTTTCCGTTTTCTGAGAATTTAAAATCTTGGGAATTAAAGATATCACTTTATCAGTGAGGGTCTTCTTTCACCTATACTCCTAAATCCTAATAAACCCCTACCCAATATACTTGGGGTATTATCATATTGAGTGCAAAATTCCACCATCCCAAATAAATCATACCATACCTCTTTGCAGGTCTCTTCATGTGTGACTAAGAGCTCATGATTTTGTTCGCAAATCTGATATCTCAGCCTGTAGCTTTTCGTATTCAGAAACTGTTGGACCACCTAATTTTTGTTGAACAAACCTGTCCCGAGAGACATGAGCAAAAAAGGAGTTGGTGTTACCATTAAATCTCAACTATTTCTGAAATCCACATAGGTGGATCACTGCCATTCAATCACACAATAAAAGAACTGAGGAAAACTCACACTTGGTTCATTTAACCACTAGAGCCTTGACAAAAATAGTAAAACTACAAATAGTCTCAAGAGAACAATTATTATGAACAATAGGGAACAAGAATTTTCTATAGACACAAATGGAAATCAAAGCAAGGCTCAGATTCCTTTCCATCTTTATCTGGATTGTGGCCGAACATTGGGCAATAAGGAAAAATCAAAATCATCAAACATGGT